TCCATTGAAAAAAAAAAAAAAACCTCACTGCTGTGGAGTCAATTCTGACTAATCGTGACCCTATAGGACGGAGAATTGCCCAATAGGGTTTCCAATGCTGTTATCTTTACAGAAGCAAACTGCCACATCTCTCTCTTACAGAGCTGTTGGTGGGTTTAAACTGCCGAACTTTTGGTTAGCAGCTGAGCACTTCAACCACTGCACAACCAGGGCTCCCCATAATCCAATCCTAAACCCAAACCCATTGCTGTAGAGTCGATTCCAACTCATAGCAACCCTATGGGACAGAGTAGAACTGTCCCATAGGGTTTCCAAGGAGCGCTGGTAGATTCAAACTGCCAACTTTTTGTTTAGCAGCGGATATCTTAACCACTGAGCCACCAAGGTTCCCAAAATCCAACAGCAGTCTCTAATGTTTGGAGGCACAAGTTTCCCCACTGGCTGCCCACTTGTGTTGTCAGTAACTGGTGTCCACCCTGGCTGTACGTCAGAATCACTAGATGCCCAGACCTCACTCGCAAATATTTTAATTCAGAAGATATGAGTGGGGCCAGGTGTTTTTTTGATGCCGGAAGGAGAAAAAAATACCTTATAGAAACATTCAGAACTGATGGTAATAACTTTCTTTCACCCTCTTTCTCCTGGGCACTCTGCCCACATCCCTGACACTAAATTCATGGTAAACGGATGTTTCAAATGTTTCTTTGAGACCAGGGAGAGACAAGACGACAACTGAGGCTTTTCACTGTTTAACACCTTCCTGTGGAAAGGCTGATTTTCTCCCATTTTAAGAATGACGACAAATCCAAAATATCTTAGGTGCTGTCCACGAAAGTTCAAGTGGGCCTACTATGAGGCCAAAAACCCATGCACATTGTCCTTCAAATTTCTAAGTATTTATTCAACGATCATAACCATTTTAAGTGGCCATCAAGGCCCTATAAATTCTGATTAGTCATGAGTGACTCCTAACAGCAAATGCAGATGCTGTGAGGCTCCTTTCTTCCATCTCCTTCCAAGAAATCAGAATAATTGTCTCACTTCTCTTTTAAAAAACATCAAAGAAACCTATGTATTATATATATATACATATATGCACATATATATGGTGGTCCTATATGTTTCAGAGTAGAACTGGGCTCCATAGATTTTCATGGCTGTGACGTTCCAGAAGGAGATCACCAGGCCTTTCTTCTGAGGCACCTCTGGGTGGGTTTGAGCCCAACACTTAACTGTTTGCACTACCCAGAGGCATAATAATGTCATGAATACTTAACTCCAATTTCTTTCCACTCTTAAGGCCTGCTTTTGCTCAGGTAAATGGTCTAGCTCAAGGGTGTCCAGAATCGCCTAAGGCCCCAAGCCCAAAGATCTTAACACTCTTCCAGAGTCCTCTCCAGGATTTCTCAAATTTTCCATGGATAAGTACTTTTGGAAAGGAGGAATGGGGCTTGTAAAATGCTTTCCAGAAAGAATCACCTGGGGCACTTTTTAATCATACAATTAGCCAGGCTTGCCTCAGGAAACTGATTCAAGTAGATCTAAAAGACTCAAAATCTGCATTTTAACAAGAGTCCCACAAGATTCTGGGAAGCACCAGAAGCTCTAAAGAGCCATACAGCCCTTTTCCAAAGGTGATCCAAAGATATTATCTTCCAGGCATGGTGTGGTCTTCTCTTCCTGCCCCGCCCACCATTTTCCCTTTCATCAAAGTACCTTCCTTTCACCTATTCAAAGCAAAGTCTTTTCCAAACAAATCCAGTCACAGTGATTTCCCTTTTTTCCTGAATTCCTGCCACAATTCTGGTCATGTGACACAATTATTTGACCTTTCAAGGGTTCAATAAAGCTTGTGGATCATTAGATATCAATTTACCTTATTTATGCTTTCTAGGTAAAGTTCAGTGTTGCTAAGAGACATCAAGCAAGGTTAAATGGTTTGCAAATGTTCCTAAATAAGTGTGTCGAATGTGGTTCTGAAGACATGGTTATTAACTCAAAAGCTCCCAAGAGTTCACTGTACTTACCACTGAATGCTACAGGCAAATGACATCTTAGTTGTCTCACTAGCAAAGCAATTTATTTTGTAGAAACCTGATAATTACAAGCTTTCCCATTTCTTCTCTCTCATAAGCAGCTTACACAGTTAAGAGACATACTAAATAAAGCTGTCTCCTCAAATGAGCTGGTATTTGCCTTTAAACTTGTACCAAGAAAAAAAAAACAACGTGTTCCAATAGTAATTCAGCCAACTCTTCATTATCTGAGGAGGGATCTGGAGGACACAGCATTTATAATCCCAGATGACTCCCATTTCATCCAGTACTGTGGCAAATGCTGCCTCTTCATGGGAGCTGCTGTCCTTGCTTGAGAAAAGGTAGCAAAACACTACATGAGATCATCTCCAAGGTCCCCCTCAAATTCTAACAACCTACGATTTGATGACTCCAAAGGGACTGTACTCATCTTCCCAGTAACCTCTGTTGCCAAGGAGACACAAGTTAGGAACTGTTAAGTGATTATCAAAGGGGCCAAAAAAGACTCTCTCTGGAGGGGAGAGTGGCTTTTAGTTCCTTCAAGGCCTCTCTAACATGTGGGTGCCAGATGTCCAAACTCTGTGGCATAGGATAATCTGGAGACTTTTGTTTTCATTTTGCTTAGTAATGTGGAATCTGGGGGCCACTATTAGGATTCAGATTCAGTAAGGTCTATGGTAGGACCCTGGAGCCCTGCTGGCACAGTAGTTAAGAGATATGGCTGCTACCCAAAGATTGGCAGTTTGAATACGCAAGCGGCTCCTTGGAAACCCTATGGGGTTAGTTCCATCCTGTTCTGTAGGGTTGCTATGAGTCGGAATCCACTCGCCGGCAACGGTAAGGTAGGACCCAAGAACTTGCATTTTTAAAAAGCACCTAATGCTGGTCCTGTCTCTCCTCTCACCCTTCTTCAGCCATGCCTTGTGCCTTCCCCCTTCCACTTGTGCTTTTCCCAAACAAAATGCTCTGTATTAATCTTTCAACCCTAACCATGCTTCAAGGCCCAGCTCAAATGCCAACCACTTCTTGAATCCTAAAAGGATTAACACCACTGAAAGGGACTTTCTGCTCTCCTGCATTCAGTGCCATTTGCAAACCTTTAGCTACAAAAGAATAAAAGGTTTTTCATTTCATCAGAGTCATTTCTTTGTGCAAATCTCATCTCTCTTACTGGGCAGTAAAATCCTTAATGGCAGACTAAAGCTCCCATCCATTTACTTCCTATAGTAAAGCACCTACAGTGTGTGAGACGCTTCATCCAACCCCACTGAATGAATGAGCGATCAAGCAATGAAATGAATGCATTCACATATGTTTCTTCCAACAGTTGCTGAGGCTAAAAGTACAGGAAACAGGAAAACTGCCCAGACTTTGTTGTAATTGTCTACAGTAGTTTAAGCACCATAAAATCCTTCACTTTCTTCATCTGTAAAACTAGAGGGTTTCTATTCTGTCCTATGGGTCGGAATTGACTCGACGGCAATGGGTTTGGGGTTTTTTGGTTTAGAGGGTTTCAGAGAATTTTTTAAAAACTTTACCAGAAATTCCCCTATGTCAAAAGCTTAACATTCCAGATGTTCTAACTTGAGCCTTTACTCCCCAGCTAACAGCACAGCTATCTACATCTGTATTATATGGGCTAAACTATTGTATTCCCAAGACTTACCAACTGATTAACCCTGCCTTTGAGGGACTTTGAAGGGATTTATGATGTGAGCTAATACAGGAGAAGATACCAACTGGTTTTACCCTTCTCTCACTTTAAAAATAATGTTTCACTTGAAAATTTCCAGCCAAAAAAAACCACACTAACAGTTATGAGGTGGTACCCATTCTAACAGTTATTTCACAAATATGCCAAATTCCTATAGAACTGACGAGAAAAAAAATCTATGACTGTCAAGTGCACTCTTTCTAAAAGAACAATATGGAGTTCAGAGTCTCCAATAACCAGTTTAACAGCCTAATTTTTAAAGTATATCCTAGCCTAAACCTCTACCAATAATCTGAATAGGATTTCGTCTTGGCATCAATCACATTTTGGATTATCACTTTTGTCAATTAAAGCAAGCCACAATGAATCTTTATATATTCTTCCCACTGCTCAATTTGTCGTTCATAAATGAATTAAAAACCTCCTGTGCAAAATGTAGTTATACTCTAGAACGTCTATACAGATGTCTTAAACAGCAATAACAATCTGAGCGCAAGCAAAATACACCTTTTTAGTGTGAGAATTGTCAGCTTTGAAAGCTAAACTTCGTTTCTCATTTTAAAAGCATGATTAATTTCTTTTAATCTGTCCTCAGGTAGAAACTAGGGTAGCAAAAGAGGCAAAGTTCAGGGTTTTAAATGATGTACAAAACTGGGTCGTGGCAAACAGAAGGCACCACCTTTGCAAAATCTTAACCCAGGTACACAGGACAAAGAATGACAGAAGTATTAAGAGTGAAAGGCTCCAAATAAACGGAAAACGAATCAATGCGTCAAAATACATTCTTAACACGACTTAAAAGAGAGAGACAGAAAGACCGTCTAGGCCATGCAAGCCACATGATCAACTAAGTGTCATTTTCTGCATAAAAATCTCCACAAATAGCATAATAAAAAGTATAGCCAACACAAATAATTTGCGGCCTTGGAAAAGGGACATTTAACATAGGTTAAGAGCGAGAACTACTGAAAGCACTCCATCCAAGGATCAAATGGGAACCTAAACACAGTGTTCCAGTTCTTACCATAGCGGCGCAAGCCCCAGGCAAGGCAGGGCAAGAGGAAAGGAAAAAGGGAGAAGTGACGACTGCTCCGGTAGAGGAGGACTTGCTTTCCGACCTGCCACCCCCCCACCCCCGGCCCCAGCCCCAGCCCCAGCCCCGGGCTTCTCATTCATTCCGCGCGGTCTCCCGGTGGCGGCCGCGCGTTTGCTGCCACGGCGTTCTCCGCGGGGAACCGCCGCGCACTTACCTGTTCGGGAACACGACCTCGCGGCGCCGGAGGCCGCTGAGGCCGCCGCCAGGAGCCTGGGTGATGCGGGCCGGGGGACCGCCGCTGGTGGGGACGACTGGCGGCGCAGCCCGAGGGCTGGCAGGCGGCGCAGGCCGGACGCGTCCCTCTGCAGCAAAGCCGAACAGAGCCGCCGCGGGCTCTGATACATGCCGGGTAACGCCGCCACCAAAGCCGCGGCCCCTAGCGCGCCGGAGGAGCGGAGCCCGGCCGAGGCCGGCAGGCCGAGCTGACCCTCGGGCCGTCCGGGTGGATGCTCCCAGGTCCCCTCTCACCCAGCCCAGGCCCTGGAAAAAGTCCCGAGAGGAAGACGCAGGAGCAGCGGCAGCGATACCATCTGCCGGCGGCTAGCGAGAGCCGAGGGTAACCAGCCAGCGCCGGGCGCTGACAAAGCGGCCGCTACCAAGAGGGAAGGGCGGTGGGGGGGAGAATCATGGGACGGGACCCCGGAGCCATCAGACTGAGGTTCTAGACGTGGAATAATACTGTTTTCAGAGGAAGGGAGTCTTAAGCTATTATATAAGGTGGCGTCTGTATGACGTTTAAAGTAACAAATATTTGTCGGAGTGATTTTAAAGAAATAAGCCTCCCCTTCCGCTGGCTGAAATGGAAGCGCCCACAGAATGGAAGTCCCGAGACTGCTCCACCGCTGTGGCCCAAGGGACAAGTATGTGTCCGAGTGGGATACTGCGAGTGTGTGCGTGCGCGTGTATGTGTGATTACAGCAAAGGGCGTCCGCCCCCGACCATTCTGGCAGGGTATGATTGTGTTAAACGAAATTAAATACCTTAAAGCACCAACTGTGTGCGAGGGCAACGGTGACTAAGACCACGTCCCTCTCCTCAAGGATGTTATACTCAGGCTAAGGGGGCAGAAGTGGCAAGACAAATCAAACCATAAAGCTCTACAAGGCAGATTAAGATCTGTGTAACAAGGTGCCATCGAAGGTTACAACATGCCAGGGGTGAAGGGGTGGAGAGGATGGAGAAACGTTTTCTGGGCGAAGTTGGGCGGTGATCAGGATGTTGACTGAGGTCTAGAACTCACACATGTGGAATGGCGGTGGGGGGGTGATTTATACATGAGAAAAAGCAAATAAGCAGAAAACCACTTGATGTGTTTGTGAAAACAACTCCTGTTTGTTATGTAGAATGAAAGCCAAGGAGTGAGAGATACTTGGATAGGTTATACTGTGGAAGGTAGAGATTATATCAGACTTAATGTGGTAGGCACTAGTGGGCTGTTAATGTTTTGTGAGACGGGAAGGGATATGGTGAGGACTGTGCTTTAATTGGATGTCATGTTCCTCTGGCACATGACAAGGTAGAAGGAGACAGGAGGCCAGGTGAGAGGAAAGAGATTCTGGACCTGCATCAGGTTGATGCTACCGGGAAAAAAAATGACTAGAAGAGCTAGCTCAGATAGATGGGGCAGGAAATGATGACTAACTGGGAATGGAAGTGGGGTGAGGGGGAGGGAAAACCTAAGACGGAATTCCTCTCTGAATGACGTGTGAGTTAGTTACAGAGTGAATGAATCCACAGAGTGATTGAATTCACAGAATGAATAGCTCTTTGACTTAGTAATGTTTTCTGTTGGTTTTCCCATGATGTTGTTGATTCTCTGTCTTGTGAAATTGGAAGCTTTTCATTAACAAGGATATTCAAAATGTTTTTCAGACCTGGGTTATATATCTAATACCCAGAGGGTGTGGATGAATCAGCTGGCACGGTTGATCTCAACTCCTGTGAAACACCTCACTGGCAAGTCATTAAACCCTCTTAATTTCAGTTTCCTTATCTATGAAACGGATAGAATCATACCTTAGTCATGAGGTGAAATAAAAGGTGATAATAAAATTAGTCCATAAAAAGTGCTTTGCAAATATGGCAAAATGTTGGGTGTAGAAGCTAGGTGGTGGGTATATGGATGTTCACTTACAATTTTTTTTTCTTGGAAATGTTCATAATAAAATGATGGGGGAAAAGTTCTTTGAAAAAGTGAAAGTACTGTTCAAATAAAAACTGTCATTATTAAAGGAATTCAGAGACCATGGTATCCTGGAAATAGGTCAGTAGTGTTATTTTTGTTATGTATTAAACACTCTGTCTTAGTTTTCTAGTGTTGCTATAACGTAAACACTACAAGTGGATGGCTTTAACAAAAAGAAATTTATTGTCTCAAAGCCTAGGAGGCTAGAGGTCCGAATTCAGGATGCCAGCTCCAAGGGAAGGCTTTCTTTCTCTGTCAGTTCTTCCCCTGGTCTAGGAGCTTCTCAGCACAGGGACCCCAGGTCCAAAGGACATGCTCCACTCCCACACTTCGTTCTTGGCGGTATGAGTCCCCTCTCCTCTCTGCTCAGTTCTCTCTTTTTTATCTCAAAAGAGATTGACTCAAAATACAACCTAATCCTGTAGACTGAGTCCTGCTTCATTAATATAACTGCCTCTAGTCCTGCCTCATTAACATCATAGAGGTTAGAATTTACAACACGTAGGATAATCACATCAGATGAAAAATGGTGGACAATCACACAACACTGGGGATCATGGCCTAGCCAAGTCGATACACATTTTTAGGGGAAACAATTCAATCCATAACACACTGTATACTTTAAGCCATCAGAAAAATATAAATTAAAACTTACTCACTTCAGAAAATCATTTGGTAGACATTTATTGAGTACATATACTGTGCCAGTCTCTATGGTAGGACGTACAAAGATAATCTGAACAAACTCTGTTCACAGTTTAGTGGGTGAGACGTTGGATAAACACAAATTCTTATAATTATCTGATAGTAAATACAGAATCATGATAATAAACAAGGTATTGTGGAAACACAGAAGAGGAAATACCTAATTTCCTGAAGAAGTCATGAGAGGTTTTTGAACAAGATCCAAGCAGAAGGGGATCAGAGGGGGCATTCACAGAGAAAAGAAGAGCGAAGTGACTGTCTTAGTCATCTAGTGCTGCTAACAAGAAATACCACAAGTGGATGCGTTAACAAAGAAAAATTTATTTCTTTAAGCAAAGTAGGCTAAAAGTCCAAATTCAGGGAATCAGCTCCAGGGGAAGGCTTTCTCTCTCTGTCAGCCTTCTCATCAGTCTTGCCCCGGACTAGGGGCTTCTCTGTGCGGGGACCCCGGGTCCAAAGGACGCACTCTGCTCCTGGTGCTACTTTCTTGGTGGTATGAAGTCCCCCACTCTCTGCTTGCTTCTCTTTCTTTTTATCTCTTGTAAGATAAAAGGTGGTACAGACCACACCCCAGGGAAACTCCCTTTACGTTAGATCAGGGATGTGACCTAAGTAGGGGTGTTACAATCCCACCCTAATCCTCTTTACCATAAAATTATAATCACAAAACAGGGGACAACCACACAATACTGGGAATCATGGCCCAGCCAATTGATAACACACATTTTTGGGGGGACGTAATTTAATCCATGACATTGAGGAAAGGATGCATGTTCCAGGAACATCAAGTAACATACTTTGATAAGGCATTAAGTTCAGGGTGCCTGTAAGGGAGTGGCAGGAGATAAGGTGGAAACTGTGGGCAAGGACCAAATCTGAAGGGTTTTAAAAGGAGTTTGGACTTTATCCTGAAGATTCTGAAGACTAAGCAGATAGGTTGTTCTATTAGGCTTCCATTTTTTTGAATGATCATTCTGTCAGCAGTGTGGAAGATTGATTGGAGACTGGGCACAGAATTGAGAGCAGTGTAGGTGAGGAAGAGTACTTACTAGATCAGAATCTCCAGAGTAGGGACAGGGCATGTATACTTATTTAAAAAGAATACTATGCAAGGTGATTCTGATGCACACACTCATCTTCCCTCAATGCCAGCTCCCAAACAAATAAATTGAATGCAGTTTATTAACCAGTGGAAAGGAGACAGATACTAAGAACTATGAAGGAGACTACAGAGTTGAGAGACAGATTGAAAGTAGGGAGTATTATGAACTGAATTGTGTCTCCCCAAAATATGTGTTGAAATCTTAATACTTTGAACTGTAAATATAACCCTGTTTGGAAATATAAGTTTTCTTTTGCTACGTTAATGAGGTCATACCAAAGTAGGGTGGGCCCTAAACCTAATCACTTCTAAGTTATAAAAAGAGCAGAATAGATACAGAGACACACACAGGGGGAAGATGCCATATAAAGACAGACAGGTACACAGCAGATGCATTTACAAACACAAGGATGCCAAGGATTGCTGGCAGCTACTAGAATGGAATAGACAAAGAAAGACCTCCTCTAGAGCCACACCCTGAATTCAAACTTCTAGCCTCCTAAACTGAGAAAACAAATTTCTGTTCTTTAAGATCCCCCACTTGTGTCATCTTTTATTATGGCAGCATTAGGTAACTAAGACAGAGGGCAAGAGAGGAGAGGATAGAGTCTAAGGATGGCTTGGGTGACTGGCGGATAACGGTACCAAATAGGGAAAACAGGTGAAGATGCCACTCTCGGGAAGATAATGAATTCTGTTTTGAACATATGAGTGTGATACGCACTTGGAAAATCCAGGTGGAGACACTTTGTAGGCAATTGAAACTAGGGACTTGAAGTTCATAGCAGGGTCAGGGCCAAACACTTGGGAGTTCTGTAGTTGAAGCCATAGATAATGAGGTCACCCACAAAAGTGTTTTGAGTGAGATAGGAAAACTGTTAAGAATGGCAGCCCTATGAAATACCTACTTTTAAGGAGTTGTCATAAGTGAAAGAAACTTGAGACTTGGTCAGGGAGGGAGAACCAGGAACTTGGAAGTAAAGGAACAGAAAATTTCTAGTAGAGTGTAACAGTTGCAAAGGAGCCCCCAAAATCTAGGTGGTTTGCATAAGGAGAGGCTTCTGCCCAAGATGTAGGCCAAATTCCATTTTTGCTATTTACTGCTCAGTCTGAGCTGATTCTCAAAAGTCAGCCAGCCAGACAGAATACCTCGCCTCCCCTCCCTTCCTCTTACTCAGGCTGTCCTCCAAAGTATCCATAGATTAGCAAGATGGTAATTGACTCCAACTTTATGATTAACAAAACAATGCTTAAGGGATCTCCTAATTGTCTTGTGTCTGCTAAAGCATGATTTTTTAAATGTCAACCAATCAGAAATTTCTCCTTGTAAGTTCCTGAATTTTCTATACTTCTGTGAAAATTTCCTTTCCCAGGAGTACTTTTATGAATCCTCATGAAGTGCTGCCTGATCTGGGTTGCTCTGTTCCTCCAATAAAACTCTTTGCTTTAATTTTAAAAGAGATTCCAGTTTGCTCTGGAATCTTTGACACAGTTATAAATGTTCCTGTGATGCAATGAATTCCCTTGTTTGGCCTTT